ATTTAATTATACGCCCAAAGTAATGCATTGTCTGTTTCATATATAGATGTATACTAGTACACTTTTGAGTACAAAAAAAGAATATTTGGGACCCCAGACATAAAGTTCTTTTTTTACTCAAACCAAGCTTGTAGATATGTTTCAGATCAACAAATTTACAATGATAGCTCAAGACCAGATACATACCTGAAACTTTTTTGTTTGAATACTACAGATAAACTTTACTAAAACAGTAGCATTTAGCAGTGAAAACAAATAAAACATTACACTTTTAAGAATTCATTAATTTAAACTAAATACAGTCAAATATTAAATAATTTGTTTTTAGAACATATATCACCTAATAAAGCAGCAGCATGTTATAGATTGGACAATAGGTCCCCAATGAATATTAAATTTCTGTAAATTTAAACCTCAAGAGCTTCTAATATCATATTATTTTGAAGCAGTAAAGCATTGTTTTTTAGGTGAGATTAATGTGCATAGAGATGACCACACGAAAGTAAAGTTCAAACTACTGAATTTGCATAACATCTAAGAAAAATGTATATGAAACTAGGATATTATATATACGAGATACCATTTTTGCAACATTTCATATGTGTAAGTTGTCACTAAACTCACATATTACAATGGTAAAAGTAAAATAACCAACTGTTACATGTTTATTAGTCTAGAAATGAACTAATCACTTCCAGCAAAACTCTAGCATATCGATATAGTTAAACAGATATTCAGATTGATACTACACACAATTAGATGACTGACATCCAAAGTGAAGTTACGTAAAAAAACACAATGAGGAATAAAGCAATACACACAGTCATTATTTTACATGTTTGTCAGGAACCATAAGATCAAAATGGTCCTAAAGGATTGTTTACAAGTACTTTTGTAAGAACTACTTACAAGTTTATCTTATAACTATTGGCTTTAAAACCCCTTTCTTCACAACTGATATCATCACTACATGGCAATTTAAAAAATGTAGTAACAAAAAATATTCTCATTAGATTGGAAATTGATTTTTGTATATAACGATCAGAAAGGACCCAATATAAATTTCTGCTTCTATAAGGAATTCAAAACAACCATTTGGCTAAATATATATATAATTAGTCACCTGCTTAACAGCCACTAACTGTTATGGTAAATGGCAAACAAAATAGCATCATGTCATATGTGTTAAGCTTTCAGCTACCTGGCTCCAACACTCAAATATACAAATACACTTTTTTCCCTCCCCTTTTGACATAAGTGACTGTTGTGTTTTGGCTATGTTAGCAACACTTATTGAACTGAAGTTTAGTTGTTCTTGTAAACTGATCATTTTCTTTTTATAAAAACTTCATTTCTTTGCTCTCTACATATTTCTGCAGCTTTAGAAGAATTCTTAAGATGTAATTTTGTCTCTGATAAAAATCTTATAATGACTTCTTTGAAGTGCTTGTCTTTAATTATTGTAGTTTGTTTATTATTTGTTTTCTTTCATCATAATCTTACACTTTTTTTTCTTCTAGTTTCTCTCAAAGTTCCTGTTTTTTCTTAAGGAAGATGTGTTTTATACATTTTGTAAGATTCCTTGACAGTTTTCAGTAGGCTTTGAGCTATGGGAACTTTAATGAAGTTGACACTTTATAACACAAAGCATCTCTGATAAGCAATAGTCCATTTAAAGATCCTTTGAAAGACCTTTTTGCTACTTGGAATGTTTTCATTTATATAAATTTTATGTTCATCTGCAACAAGATGGATCTTTTTTTTTTATATTTGTTAATCTTTCTACTAACTTCCAGGTGAATTTACTGAGCATCTCTGATGATAGGTTTATCCAATGGCATGTTGTTACAGAAGTATATTGATATTCCTGAAGGAACATTTTTATTTCCTATTTTACTGCTTTTTGCTATGATAATTCTAATTTAGATACAGCTTTGCAACAGGTTTTATGTGTAGGCCAGATTCCTTACAGTAGGTGTCTGTAACTCATTGGTGATAAATTTCAACAGTAAACATACAGTACACTTGTTTAAATATATCAAAACAAGTCAAACATATATACAAATGATCATTACACAGTTAATAACCACAGTTGAATCCAGTTTTAAATAATTCTCTTGTCAAAAGTTCACACAGGCTGGTTCAGTTAGAACACAATTTGACAAGATGAATTATTCTTCTCTACTCTGTTATTACAATACATTCTGTGATAATTTCACTATAAAATCACCACTATAATTGTTGGTTACCAAAGTTGTATCCAGAGCTTTAAATAATTATCTTTTTCGTCAAAGTCCATACAGTCTGTTCAATTATTTTAGAACACAAATCACAAAATGAATTATTCTTCTCTACTCTGTTATTACAATACGATCCGATAATTTCAATGTGAAAATTGCCCCTATATACTCTTTATGGCTAAACTCACAATCATGTAGTCGAGATCTAGCTAACAAAATATATTTTTGACATGTATTTATACCCAGAGATCTAGAACATTCCACACACTACTACATATTATGATACAATAATACTCAACCGAAAACCCAGAAGGTTATAGTAACCTGACATAATAATATAACAATCACCAATTCATAACCATTGAATTACAAAATGTAGGATTTGTAAATAGTTATGCAAACAAACTTGCAGTAAACTACTGCTTCTAAATCTAACACTCATGCTATATAAACTATCTAAATCATAACTCTCCCATTAAACTTAAACAGTTGTGTATATCTAACAGTCCCTATTGGGTTTACTAGTATTACTACCTCCACTTAATGACACAAAAAACTTTTATGTTTCTGTCCATTAGCATGATGAAACATTTTAGGCTAGTATTAGTACATTGTACAAACTTTCAACAGATAACACAATATTTTGCACATTCTGATAATGGGTCATTTTTACATAAAAGCTTAAGTTCATGCCCATTATTGCCCTATTTTTCAACCCCAATAAGATCAAATTTTTTCTCCTGTGGCATCTTGAATCAATCTACTTGTTAGTAGAATTAATGTCATTTCGGAAATTATCTTATAGCCCTAAAGCTGATTGCCTTGACACATTTTGAAGCAGATAAAAGTCTAAAATTTTGGTATAATAAACTTGTTTTCAACTAAGTTTTATAAGAAACTGATTGTATCACAGTATAGGTATTTTGAAACCTGCATACTCAGTAAGCAAATGTTTTGGCTGGCTTATATATCCTTAAAGAAACCACTTTAAAACAATAAAACATAAAGAAGTAAATAATGACACTACAATTCCAATATTTAATGCTATTACTGCAGACATATTGCAAATCTTTTCCATCATGTTCCATAATCAGAAAACTTTTATACAATTAGTAACAAATTAAATAACAATGTTCACATAATTTTAATAAAAAGTGTAGAGATATCAGGTCATTTTTGAAAAAGAAAATGTAGAAAAATAGAGAAGGCCACTACGAAAAAAATAGAAAGAAGTAGGACACAGGAAAAACTAAATACATTTACTAAAAATTTGCTTTAAGTACATTAGAAAAATGGAAAAAGCACCAACATTTTTCAACCTACATTATGAGAACATCATTCAAGGACTTGAATTGTATAGAAGGCATGATCTATTGGATCAATAACAAAACAACCATATAAAATAACTAAAAACACAAAAGTTTTGCACTTCAAGTACAATTCTTTTGTGTGAGAGAAGATTAGTTCAATTTAGAAACACTTAACACTGTCTCCATTTATAGTAATACTACCAATCAAGTTGGTCTACAAATTTCAACATCACTGACCTAACATACTAAACGTTTTTTTAATGGTAATAATTTTAAAGTTTATGACTTACTTTTTCGTAAAATAATTGAAGCAAACGTTGACGTTTTTCTTCTATACTCAAACCTTTACGTTTGGACTGAAAGTAAGTTAAAAGATACTCTTATAAAAAGTAGTAGTAAAAAGTTAATTCAATTTACTTCCCAAATTTTCAGTTTTACTTAGTCAAACTTCTTTAAGAAAACAAAAACATTATATAAGTGTTTATGCATGTGTGTTACAGTACTTTCTATGAATGTGTAACAACAGAAACAATTATAAAAAGTTCCCAAGGAAAAAACAATGCATTTTTTCATTCATTCATTTAAAACACTTATCACATTACACATAATTAAACATTTCACTTTGAAGACAAAATGTATAAAGCAGCAACCAACACTTCTGATTAATTTCAGCTTAAGTGTACCAACTGGTTATGAAGAAGACAAACTACCTTTTAGTAAACTACAAATAATTCATTTGTGAGACTGTCATATGTCTGTTGTTTATTTCATAAATATACACATACAACACCAAGGCAGAGTGTGTACATTAAGAAGCATCGAGTTGATTTTCTGACAGCAAAACTGAAAGATGTTCCAAATGTATCCATTTTTATAAAAGATGTTCAATAATTAGACTACAGAAGAGGTATAGCTTCCAGTCAGCTGAAACAACTACAAGAAAGGTTATCTTTCATTGTGTTAAAACATATCTGATTTATTTTTTGCTCTGAATATACAGTATTTTGAACATCCTGAATGTATACGTGTGTGACCAATTTGAAATAGCTATGAACTATTATTTAGTTGCCAGGTAACCTGCATCAAAATTTGCAAGCTTTCTACCAAGATATCTATCTAATGGGAGTAAAGGATAAACGTATGTTTTACAAGAATAAATATACAAACCCTTAAAATGGTTATGTCACACAAAGCCTGAAATTACTAGTAGTTATTAGGAAACTCTATATAGCTACATGTTACTAGTTAGTGGTGGCTGTGTGAATGTTGGATAATATAATCTGGAGCACCCATAATTGTTTCTTTTTTTACTCTAATAACAAGAGAGTGCAAATGATATGAAAAAATTTTGAAGGAACTTTAACAAAGTGTTTTTTAAAATGTATATATATTGTTGCTAAGCTTTTGACACATTGATACCCCTGAAATTTATTGTTGTGTTCTCCATGAAACTTTATAATATTTAAGAGATATAAAATAAATCACCCTAATTAAGTAATAAATGATTTCTAAATTAAAATGTAAACATGCTTTACCAAATATTCAACTTTATTCTCCAATATCCATTTTACGTGCTGAAATATATTACCAGCTGACAATCACAAATATATTTTTCTTTACAAAAACTACTTTTTTATTGCACATATACGTTCTGAAAGTTACTGCATGTAATTTACCATTTTTAGCCCAACAGTACAGAAACTGATGTTTTTCTTTCACCTCAGGCTCTTTAAAGTTTTTCGTTACTATCTTTGATAAATCCAACACTATATGAAATGGGAATAATGAATCTGTAAAAAATAAAAATAATTATCAAAGTTTTAAAAATTCATATTCTAATGCTATTTCACCTGAATATTTAGACTGATATTATCACTTCTATTTCTACTCATTTTAAACAAATCAATACAAAAGTGTTAATTTTAGTTCTAGACCTGCAATGTTAATATTTTCCTTACCTGAAAATGTATTTCAGATAGATGCCCGCCTCTCTGCACAACAAGGATCTTTTATCTTGTACCACTCCCATGAAGGATTTTGTGCATGCCATAAACATTGAACAAAAGCTCCCATTCTTATGCATTTTAATATGTACCATACTAGTCTATGATGTAATCATCATTAGATTACAGCCCTCCACCAATAGGAGGGTGACACATCCTCCATGTACAGTAATCCCTATGAGTACTAACAAAGAAATAAAAGTTCATTCTTTACAATGCAAAAGAAATACACTGGAGTGAAGAGGAAGGGTGGGGGTTGTGCAGAGAGGTATCTGTCTATCAATCAGGTAAGGAAAATGTTAGCTTGAGAAATGTATACTCACATCTTTGCACAAGAAAGGCCTAGAATCCCACATTGGTAAGTTGGTGGCATAGAGAAAAAAATTACAAAGATGAGCTCCTTTCTGAAACCATAGTATCAGAAAGGGCAAACCCATAGAGTGTGTCATCTGCTTGGGTGTAGCCTATTGGGGCATCAGTTAGTGAAAGACTGCATCCTTCTCATGCAGGGAATACTCTTCACCTAATAAAGGTGATGGAGCAGAAGATATTGTCAAACAAACATTCTGCATGGTGCTGAAGTGTTGCATAGGAGGACAGATTGCTCAATCAGCCATTATTTCTCATGCAATTGACTGAGCATGAGTGTGGCTAGGGAAATAAGTCTAACCATACTGTATTGGAGAAATACTTAAATATCCTAGACCTGCATCTCTAGAAGAATGCAAGACCCATCAAGCTGGCCTAACCACTGGTAATGGCTGGGCTCCTAGTGTAATAGGGTTGCCTGAACTATACATTCAAGTAACACTCCAGCCCTACTTCTCATACCAGTGAGATTACACCATCCCAATGAGGAACTCTCCATATCAACCTTCCCAATGTCTTGGAAGTGGAGAAGCAAAGGTTGCCCATTACTACACTTTAAAAAAGTGGGGAAAATCTGTACGGGCAAAAATGCCAGAGGTGCTTGGACAGAAAAGAAATAATCACATCTGCATAAGGTCCCACAATGATAGATTGTGCAATGGGTTATCACAGCAGGAGCTAGCTAGATGTGAGGGTAAGCTCACACTTAGTGATGTTTTTTTTTTCCCCTGAAGTATGGCCAGAAGATGAAAAACATGTATATGTACAGCCAAAATGAAGGGAAACAAAATCCAAGGTAGATGAAACCTCAATGTTGTATCTGTAATGTGACTCTAATGTGTTAGGGATCATCCACATTCCCATCTGCAAGATCTCATACATGGGACAAGAATAGCTAGAGGCAAGAAAAATAAAATGACAAACTGGATGGAAGGAGACATGAAAACTAAGAAAAATAGATAAGTTACTAGAAAAAATGGAATCCCATGGCAAGAAATTGTTAATAGCTCTGAAGAGAGCAGTATGAGTGACATAACAATGAACACCCCATACAGAACAAAGGAGACAATCTGGGCCAGAATGATTATGAAGGGAAGAAAGATTAAATGGATAAAACATCCAATCCTCCCTTGGAGTCCAAGTTTTGTGAGAAAGGAGCAATCAGGGAAGAAGATTAATCTGTCTGTGGTAACTAGTGCAGGAGGTGTCCAGGACAAGAAAGTGAAAGTGACTACTCATGCACAGGGAAGCACATAGAAGATTTAACTACTGCAGACACAGAGATTCCACTGCCAAAGCTGTAGTACAGGATTGGAGACCAAAAAAGTGGAACTTAGGTGTTGAGGAGAGTTTGAAAGGCCGCAATAATAGGGCTCGCACATTGGAAATAAATTCGCTGGCAACACTAGAGGATGGAGAAACCACTTTGTGAGAAGGACCTGATCTCGGGAAGATAGTCAATCTGCCACCATGACTTGAAGCTCTCAAAACATAACAGACCAACAACCAAACAGAGGAAAAGTATAAATGGATCATAATATAAGACCAGACAGAAGATGATGGCAAGTTTTTTAAGCAGCCAACATCTTGTAGAAATATACATATAAAGAACTTGCTCCTCTGGATACCAGACTCTCAAAATTGAATCATGTGTCCAGAACTGCACACTACTGGTTGACAGGTTTTGTTTGTAGGTTCACACTGACACCTGGGCTGTACTCACCATGGGTATGGAAACCCAAATACACGAGTTTGATGAGCCTTCAGACATATGACTTAGCGCTGAGGGGCTATGAATAGATGTAAATTCAGGTGAGGTGGGAGAAGACGGATGCCTAGGATCAGGGGCATTTGAATAAGCTACTACAACAGCAAGAGATGAAAATAAGACAGTGGATCTCTGAATACAGCATTGATCAGTCAGAGTTCACTGAAGGGGATGCATATAGGAGCATCCAAGACGAAGAAAGATCACATGAGAAAATGCAGCCCCCCCCCCCAAAAAGACATAACAGCCTTGGTACAAAAAGCTCCATGCCTCAAGACATAATAAAGAAGATTAAGCCTGTCCCATATCAAAATGAAAAAGACCCCAAAGTGAATGAGATACTGGGTGGGAATCAAGAGTAAACTGGAAAGCCAAACCAGCCATCCCAACAAGATGACTTCTGAAAGAGAAAGAAAGTCACAATAGTGGATGACACAAATAGAGGCCAAATTCCCATAGAGTATTGGAACAGTAAGCCTAAAGAATGCAACCTCTGAGAAAAGGTTCACTGGATCTGACTGAAAACATACAGAGCTACAGCTAATCTGAAGGGAAGGGCTGTAAAGAGAATATTTGACAACTGTGGATGAACCAAAAAATGCAAAAGGCAAGTGGAGAAATCAGGATATGGGGAAAGCATCTAAGACATCAATCCTGGTCATGCACATCCTAGGAGAATACTCACCTGAGAGTGTGAAAACCATCTGGAACCAAGAAATGATTAAAGTTGGTACAAGTGGAGCAGAGCTATGACAAATCCCCAATCTTCATAGGAATAACAAAAATATGGGAGTAAAAACTCCAAAGTGGGGTTAAAGAATTGTTCCATTGCATTCTAATCTGGTGAGATGGAAAGCTGAAGAATGGGAAAAAACCTTGAGTAAACCAGAAGTTTATGGTAAGGGAGTTCATAGACAGGTGTACAAAGTGGGAGAGTAAAGTTCCTAAGGAACCAGAACCAAAGAGTAGTTCCACGAGCAAGTCACTTCCAAGATCCACAACAGCCAGCCCTCAGGGAGGGGAGCTGTTGGAGAATAACAAAATGACTAGGAATAGGAGGAGAGCAATACAATGAGGCAGATAGAATAAGAAAAGTAAAGCTCCTTGGCCCCAAAAGGCAGGAAACAAAAGTGAAAAAGAGATGACTGCTAACAAGCAGCATCACCTCAAGATTCCGGAGAAACACACATGAAAAAAACTCATCACAAAAAAAGGATGCAACATAGGTATCTCTAAGAGAAGATTGTGGGAGGAGAATGTAGAAAATAAAGCACGCCAATGAATTTCATCTCAGAAAATGAAAACCAAATTAAATGGAACTCAATGAAAGAAGAAAAGCAACAGCAAGGTGGAAAACAAGTATGTACAAGTTTACCCAGTAAAGCTGAAAGGATCATGATGTAAAGTTTCTAAAAGAAAGCGAAACTTTAAAAAATATCAAATACATTGAGTGGGTAAGAGACAAAGATGAGACTCCTAAACTTAAAGAAGAGACTCAAATTATGGAGGCTTACAAAATAAAGTAGTCCAAAATTCAGCAAAAAAAAAAAAATGGAGAAAGAAAAAACAAAAGACCCATGCCTGTGTTATCCAAGTAGTGGGGAATGAAAGTGGGGTTACCTGATCCTTGTTGGGAAAAGTGAAATAGAAGAAGATGTGGAAACAACATTGGTGAAACTAGCTGAAAGATTGGCAAGCTCAGCTGAAATAGCAGAAGCAGTAGAATGTTGGAAATTGTGGATACGAGATCAGAAAATAAAATAAAATAGAGGTAATATTACCGACTTGTCAAGAGTGCTTCCCTTCACCATTACAATATGGGATGTCTTCTGTTAAGGAGTGTCAGAAACATGATATCATAATCCAGATGATCCACAAAACTGCCCTATTTTTGTATAAAAGTTAGTCTGGTTTGTCTATTTAACCTAAACCTACATCATAAGCATAATGATGACAATGAAGACCACATAACAAAACTCACAAACTGGTTTAAAATAGGAAATAGTAATGGCAAAAAAAATCTTATCCCAGACAATGTAACACATGTCCCAAAATTACAAATGTGATAAATAGGAAAAATCAAAATAAAGATAGTTTGAATAAAAGTTCAGAGATGTTTAAAATTTGGTATCACTTTCTTTCTCATAATCCAGAAAGTTAAGGAGAGAATTGGTAATAAAAATAGTTTGTCTGTTAATCCTGAAAAAAGTCTGAACAAAGCAGCACTAAGTGAAGATTACTGCAAATTGGAAGATGTTTTGCCCTCCTACTGGTGGAGGGCTATAGTCTATTATTACATTATAAGCTGGTGCAGAACACATTAATATGTGCACACGTGATAGCTTCATTCAAGGCTTGTGGTATGCACAAAAATGTTTGTGGAAGGGTCATGAAGTAACAGCTCTTTGTTGTGTAGTGTTGAGTATAAGTTTCTGAATTATCATTTAACACCTGAAACAGCTTATCCAAAATTTCATCCCAATTTTATTTTCCTAACAATCTTTCAAGTTCACAGAAAAATTTTTATTGCAGACTTACAGTCCTTGGTATTCCCAGGTGAAATTTAACTGAGGGATAAATTATTAGTGCATTAAAAACTAGAATCAAAAAATTAAAAAACATAATAAAAATAAGTTTGACTCGACCATTAAGTAAAAGACTATGCACAACAGTGTTTGTTTCACAAAGAAACAGAAACACTTTAATCAGTATTCACAACAGCTGCAATCTTGAATGATATTTCCAGGCTGGTTTTCGCTGTCTGACTACAAAACACAGGTTGGCAACAATCGTTTTGTTAGACTGATGCCCAACCATTTACCAGAAGATTGTCCATAGTTTTTTAGATTGATGTCCAACTATTTACCTGAAGATTGTCCACAGTTTTGTTAGACTGATGCCCAACCATTTACCAGAAGATTGTCCACAGTTTTGTTAAGTGGACAATCTTCAGGTAAATAGTTGGACATCAATCTAACAAAACTGTGGACAATCTTCAGGTAAATGGTTGGGCATCAGTCTAACAAAACTGTGGACAATCTTCAGGTAAATCTCTCAAGAGAACTTCATCAGTACTATATACCTAATCTGAGGTGTCATTAAGTCACCCAAAATCCAACTCCATTTGCACTGTGTCTAATTCTACATACAATTCACCCCAGAGGGCCACATGTCCATTTTTCATCATGCTAGTATCCTCCAAACTAATACAACTAACCATCAACATTAATAGATATGTCAGAAAACTGTTCATGGTCTTACATACAGTACATGTTGATGCTTTAAATACCAGAATTGGCACCAGCCAAAACTAAATCTGTATTTATGCTATCGCAACAATACTAAAATATTTAAAAAATGTACCTTCTAAAAATGTACAATGTATTCCTATGCAAATTAACTGAAGAAGCAATGATGTCTGCCATATTCAACAGTCACCATGGAGATAGAGAAAAGCATTTTTTTAAAAAGAAAATACAGCTCAGAATTATTGTGTGCTTTTTTTTGCAGGGATTGTTGGTCACTAGTGCAAATACTGTAGTCTCCGATGGCATTCTAGTGACCAGACTTCTGTAAGTTTGTATAAACACAAGTACCAATGATAAAGCACCAGGACCAAACCAAGTTTTTCATCAAGTTTTAAATAGAGGTCAAAGATCAGTAAACAGTGCACAGGCATCTGAGATTGGAGAATAACTAATGATACTCCTATTTTTAAAGAGGATGATAGGAACTGCCCTAGAAATTATGTAATGGATAAAATTCTAGTCTGATAAAAGATGTTTTGTAAAATCATTTAGTCAAATGTGATGTCATAAAAGAAAATCAACATGAATTCTAAAGGTAAGTATTGCCTTACTCATAAGTAAACTTTATTAACTATCATACTATCAATGCAATGTATTTAAACAAGAAAAGGCCCATACACAAACCCCTGAAGCAAGTCTCTAGTAGCAAAGATCCACTTATACTGGAATCCAATAACAACCCTTTGTTTCCTCTCATCTAGTCACTCTACAATATAATTAACTCAACCCCCACCAATGTGATTTTCTTAGCTAATATTCTATGTGCATCTTATCATAAGGCTTCTTGAAAATCCAAGTACATAAAGTCCACACCCATTCCAATATCTAGACAAGTAACATTCTCTAAAAAGTTACCACATGTTGATTTTCTTCTATGATAAATACATTTCACTAAATTATCTTACAAGCTTCTTTTATCACTCTAGAATTTGTTCTACTACAGAAATAGAATTACCTAGTCTATAATTTCCAAGGCAACTCTTATCACCCAATTTAAAAACAGAAATAACATTAACAACTCTCCAATCCTGCAATCTTAGTATTATCAACATGGAAATTTTGAAATTATTACACAAGAGTTCAAGATCTGTACCTTGAGAGTAAATTAATTATTACTTAATAAGGACAGACAGAACCTGAATTTCACTTGTACTTTTAGTAAAATCTTAGGGTATAAACATACTATACTTTTTTAATATTCTATTTATTTATTTTTTAATTTTGATGTGATTAAGAATTAACTTGATTATCATGTGTAATAATAATACTAATAGCCTGATCTGACAGTATCGTTTTTGACATTTTGTAGAATTACATTTTGTAAATTGTTGAACCAAGCTTCAGTACTTTTAGAAACGCACAAGTTAAAACTGAAAATAACGTGAAATCCATATTATCAATTGTTATTAATAAACCAAATAAACATTAAAATTTACAGGTACCGTATTAGTATTACTACTAAACTACATAATGAAAGTTTGAAACTTAATGGCTCATAATACTGTTACTCTTAGTATTACTATTAGTACTATGCCCCAGTGAATAAAAGTTAAAACTTAAATACTTATATTATCAAATTCAATTAATAATTATTTAATTTTTTATTTGGAAACGAGTTACTTGAAATAGTTAAAAACAAGGACAAAAATAATGGCATATAATTGTCAGTCTACTAACTTATTCAGAAGTTTAATTCTAGTTGAAGTTTAACGTAATACTAATAGCCATTCAAACATATCTGTTCATTTCGTCAGCGCTCGTCAAATTACTAAAAATTTAGTGTGTTTTTCGCGCCAGAATTAGGACTATATAGAGGGCTAAATCGGGTTGCTAAAACAATCCGCTTTTTCCGATGTTTATGTTAACGTGTTCTGAAAGTAATGTTTGTTTGTTTGTAATTAAGCACAAAGCTACACAATGGGCTATCTGTGCTCTGCCCACCACGGGTATCGGAACCCGGTTTCTAGCGTTGTAGGTCCGCAGACATATCGCCGTGCCACTGGTGGGCGTGAAAGTAGTGTTAAACTGTGATATTAAGTGACCTATATTTCGTTATCGATTTTATACATAATTTACTGCAACCAATTCTTGGAAACTTTCACATAAATTCAATTAAGATAATTTTCTGTGCTTTAAAATTTAAGTGGGTGCGTTTACTTAATAATAAGCGCCCGGCATGGCCAGGTGGATAGGGCGCTCGACTCACAATCTGAGGGTCACGGGTTCGAATCCG